GTGGCTCGAATCCCATTTGTGCCAGGGGATCATGAACTTCCCTGCTCCAGTTTAAGGCCCAGTTGCAGCAAAGAGCTGCGAGCTGCTTAAATTAAGAGGAAAAAGAGGTTGTTCCCTTGAGCAGAGGTAACTTTCCTGTAGAGGCTGGTTCATAGCTGCTACCCCAGGGACACCAAGTTGCTTTTCAAGCTCAAGAAAAGTTGCAACCACTCAAGGAAAAGTTTGGTGTTTGCAGGAGCAGAGTTGGAGGTTGAACTTGACCCCAGGGCAGAGAAGCAAGAGCCCTTTCAGCAGCTGCTTTGCTCAGTGCTCTGCTGAAAGCGGCCCAAACTTTGTGCGAGGCAGGACACTGTCTGCTTGGCTTAGTTGTGGGGTTTCCTCAGATGTAAAAGCTCGGTCTGCGCCTCTCTCTTGCAGTGCATCTCATCTATGGGCCCCTGGACCCCGTGAATCCACACCCAGAGTTTCTTCAGCTTTACAAGTAAGACAATAACACCACCAAGCGGGAGCACGGCACCGGGGTTTCCGGTGGAGGGAGCGTTGTCTCAGGCCTCTCCTTCAATTCCCTTTTTGTGGAGGCTGGTTTTAATTCCCACCTGTAACCACTTCCCCATTTTAAGCATCGGTCGTAATTCCCAGTCAAATCACTCATGCATTTTAAAACTACATCAGATGGAAATAACATTTATTGCCTGAGATAGTCTTCTCCTCCAAAGTAACCTGAAATAAATTCAACACTGGGAAGAGTGGTCAATTGTAGCTGCTACAGGTTTTTCTCTTTTTTTTTTTTTTTTTTGGCCCAAACCCATGTTATGGGCAGAATCCCAGCTGTGCAGGAGGGTCCCGTCCTCCTCAGTGGTAGCATCTGGCTGGCTCGCCCTGCCGTTCCTGTGCTTAAGTCTTGCTGCATTCTTCCACCAGGAAGGTGCTTCCCACGTCCACGGTGTCTGTGCTGGATGACCACATCAGCCACTACCCACAGCTGGAGGATCCAGCAGGCTTCCTGAACGCATATCTGAACTTCATCAACTCCTTCTAAGCTGCTGTGGCTCAGTTCTTGCTCTCTGTTTCCAAGTCAGGCTTTGGGGGCAGGAAGATCCTTTGATTTTTATCTCCAGATCCAACAACTTTGCACCAACACCTTCATCTGCCAGGCTGCTGCATTCATGCAGTTAATTCCTCTGAGCACCGGAAAAACATGAATGTGCAGAGAGGTGTGGGCAAAACCGTCGGCCTAAACAGAGTTATTACAGGATGCTGACAGCTCTTCCAGCCCTGCGCTCACCTCGCTTATTTAGGGCCAGGAGGGCTCAAGGGAGAAGAGGGGAGGCAGAGCACGTACGTCAATCCAAGAGTCCTCATGTGCCTTCGCTGCTGGGCTGTGCTGTGGGTTGACAAGACCGGTAATGGCCAAGTTTTGATGCACATATTCCCAAGAGGGATGTTGGGTCTGGTTTTTGAGTTGTTGTGCAGGCAGCTTCAATTCTATCCCTCTGCTGAGCATTCTAACGCTTGGCCAGCCTGGCAGGACTGAAGGGTTTGCCTACACTAACTACAGGAGAGCTGGATTTGTAAATCCCTTAAAGTGTAGGCACTCTGCACCCATAAAGGGATATTTAAGCACTGTAATTAAGTCTTCAGTAATCTTTTTTTAATGGCCAGTTACCCAAAAGCAAGCTCTAAACTGCAGGTTTTTACCACAGTCCTCGTTCCTCCAATTTTCGGAGCCGCTCACTGACGCTACAACCCCGGGAGTAGCTCAGGAGCTTCAGTGAAGCTCCACCAGGGCAGGCTCGTACCTGTTTTCCCTAGAGCAAGCTGAATATGCAATACTGGCACGAGCGGAAGCCAAATGTTCTTCTGAGCAATTGCTCTCTAAGCCACAGGGATCTGGGAGAGGTGTTTAAAAGACCATTAAAATCGTTATTCCTTCCTTCCTCACCCTGACTTGCTAAGGTAAGAAGCACAAGCAGTCCACGAGCGCAGAACTTGGCTCGCAAGGAGGCCGCTGCAAGGTGCCTCCTTCCCGCTCTCTTCCTTATTTTTGATACAGGTTGTTTCACATCTTTGAGCCCAAGGAACGGCCACGCTGTTGTTTGGTATTTTCTGACATGAGGCTCAGAGAACTGAATATGCCTCGATAGGGTGAAGCTTAAATCTCTCTCTCTGTACATTGATTTTTTTTCTGTGTGGAACAGAGGAGACGATCATCAAGATATTGTAAATAGCAGGTTGGCAGACTCTGCAGTTTTTGTGTGGTTTTTAACTGCTTCTGTCCAAAATTTATTAGCGTCCCTTTAGGAATAAGGGGCTCCCGATGAGCAAACAGCCATTATGGGCTACTTTTTTCTGTACTGAAGCAGACAGAATTAGAACAAATTTCTATTTTATTAACAGCAATTCATACGAATTCCACCACTTGGACCAGTGTTTATTTTCTGTTAATAAAAATCAGTTTTGACAAAAGTCTGATTCTCTTTTCTTACCACCTGCATCTTTTATCATCCCCTCAAGTGGCCAGAGATGCAATAAGTTAGACGAGAACGTGTGAGTGACACCGAGGGAAGGGACACAGGGAAAGGCTCGGTACCAGGCAGCCACTATCGCCACTACTGGAACATCATACAAAATATTTACCAAAATGAGGAATAAAAACTACATGCAGAAGGACAGACAGGGTGCTCGATAGCCCGTAAATACCCAAAGGGTGTTTGCAAAAGTTTCCAGCCCGGTGTGCTGTAACGCTCAGCCTACGGAAGCCAGGATGACATCTACGGCCGTTTCTTCCTTGCTTCTCACCGTCACCTGCATGGTCACACCGTCTCCTAGCGCGAGCCTGGACCTCACCAGCACGTCGCAGCCGCCTCTGTATACACCTGGGGACAAGGCAACATTGGAGAGATTCTCCTAAGAGAGGCTCAGGGATCCAGCCCTAACGCAGGACCAACAACCTGGTGAGTACACAGCAGATTCCGTCAACAGCCAGTTGCGGAGAGGGGAGGAAATGACAAAAAAAAAGAGCACCGAGCCCCCAAAATCCCCGAAGTTCTTGAGGCTACGACTGAAGGTAAGAGATACCGTCCTAATTAATCACAGTCAGCAAGTGCCAGGTTGATTTAAATAGGTGGAAACCAGAAAGTGGGGAGCTGAAGCTCGCTTCCAGTTTGAGAAGGCAACACGTTCTGTAGTTACACCGCGAAGGCACAGTCTGCTGGCTCAGTGCCCTGGCCTTTAGGGGAGGAACAGTCCTCCTACGCTTTCACCAGAAGGCTTGGAAGCGGTGCCCCTGGAGGCAATTCAGCCCAGGGCGAGCCATTGCCAGCCCCACTTCAACACCGCTACGCAGACAGGCCTGGAGTTACCGGTTCTGCCTCCAAAATAAATTGAGATCCAACCCTTCTGTCACGTTCACTGCAGTTTTGTTTTAGTCACTGCAGCACAGTTTTGTAGAACACTTTGCTTCCAGGCATTGCACAGAACTGGAAGCCTGGACCAAAACGAGCAAAGAGGTTGTGGGTACTGCAGGCCACTGCAGGATGTGTCTTTAGTGACAGGAATTTGGAAACAAGACAGTCCTAGAAACCCCCCTTCTGAAATAACCCCACGCAAGAAATTGAATTAGGTGTCTGCTCTGGACGTTCTTATTTCAAAAGATTTGCTGCTGTTCCCATGGGTGGAATACCCCCATTCCAAGAGACGGAGAGCCTAGTGGGACAGCGGCTCCAAGTCAGCACCAGCTGCATCCAACTCGCTGGTTCGCTTCAGCTTTCTACAGAGTGAAAAACCTCCTGAAATAAAAGCAGAATCTCCTCACCCGTTTCCCTTCATTTAATAGGAATCTGTGGGGACACGGAAACATCACGTTCAATGGCACAAATACTTACCAGCTAAGTAGAGCGTGTGAGAATTTTTGTTCTCTGGCACTTTATCCGACCTCTCGCAGGGCTGCATGCCCAAGAACTTGATGATGTTATTGACAGCTTCTGCATTCAGAGGTTGAAGAAGAAAATTACCTCCAGGCTGGTGCTAAGCTTTCTGTGAGAACTAGCTTGCAATTAAAGAACATTCTCAAGCCCCTGTGTGCCTTAACCATTTCCTTTCCCTATTTTAGTTGAGGCCTCACCAACACACCTACCTTGCCACATCACAGAATTGTCAGGGTTGGAAGGGACCTTAGAGATCATCTCGTTCCAACCCCTGTGTGCCATGGGCAGGGACATCTCCCACTAGATCAGGCTGCCCAGAGCCCCATCCAGCCTGGCCTGAAAATCTTCCAGGGTCTCACCCCCCTCATGGGGAAGAACTTCTTCCCAACCTCCAATCTGAACCGACCCATCTCCAGCTTCAATCCATTCCCTCTAGTCCTGTCACTGCCCGACAGCCTAACAAGCCCCTGCCCAGCTTTCTTGTAGCCCCCTTGAGATCCTGGAAGCCACAATAAGGTCTCCTCGGCGCCTTCTTTTCTGCAGACTGAGC